ACAAACTGGGACCTTTTACTGAAGTCAAAGAAACACTTGAGCAATGGATAATATGCCCACATCACCGATCAATGTTAAAATGTTTAAAACAAACAAAAACCCCACCAGTGACAGGTGGTCTGTATCTAAATGGCAGCTTTCTAACATTTAATCAACGTTGTCAAACTTATAACACTAAAAAGATATTTTTAAAAAATTACAGTTAAGAACTTGATTTCATCTAAACGTATTCAACACCACTATCCAACCTCACACTCCGTCAATCAGTTGGAGGCATGGAGACGGGATATTCTGGAAAACAACGGCTCATTTAAAATGTCACAAACAGTCCAGAGAATCCGAGATATTCCAGACTCATGTTGGAGACTTTCAGGAGAAAAAGGCTTCTTCACTCTGACGGGGTGACTGTAGCTCAGGTGGTAGAGCAGGTCATCTACTGATCGGAAGGTTGGTGGTTCGATTCCTGGCTTCGCCTAGTCTGCATGCCAAATATCCTTGGGCAAGATACTAACCCCAAATTGCTCTCCGATGCATCCATCGGAGTATGAATGTGTGTGAATGTTAGCTATAAAGCACTTAGAGAGATGTGCTTGTGCGAATGGGTGCGAATGGGTGAATGCACAAGTTGTGTAAAGCGCTTTGAGTGCTCAGATGAGTAGAAAAGCGCTATATAAGAACCAGTCCATTTACCATTTACCATTACTCTGTATGTGTCAACACTGAAGAAACACTGCAAGACGTTAACGTATAGTCAGCGCTGCATCAGGTGACCCCGAATCCTCCTTTAGGTGTAGGCTGCTGGGGGATTCCCATGATGCACTGGGTGTTTCTTCTTCACACACTATGTATTAACAGACCTCTCTGCATTGAATCATATCTGTTATTAATCTCTGCCTCTCTTCCACAGCATGTCTTTATCCTGTCTTCCTTGTCTCACCCCAACCAATCACAGCAGATGGCCCCGCCCCTCCCTGAGCCTGGTTCTGCTGGAGGTTTCTTCCTGTTAAAAGAGAGTTTTTCCTTCCCACTGTCACCAAAGCGCCTGCTCATAGGCGGTCATATGATTGTTGGGTTTTTCTTGGTATGTATTCTTGTAGGGTCGACCTTACAGTATAAAGCAGCTTGAGGCGACTGTTGTGATTTGTCTCTGTCATCCAGACTAAATCTAATATTGTTGGTATACCTTATGAAAACTGTGTATAAGTGTTTAACCTAACAGCATTACGTTTAACTCAAAGGAGGAAGGAGGATGGCGAGTCTGTCGTGGAGAAAAATGTATTTGCTGTC